CCTGCAAGACAACCACAGCTGCCTTCCTTCTGCTATAGCGGCTGCTCTCTAGCCACTCTACAGGGAGTGGGAGCAATACAGGGACCTGGAAGCTGCTAAGCTGAAGGACACTTTTTTTCTCAAGAGTGTGGAAGAAACAGGAGACCTAATCCAGACTCTCTGTTTAATTCTTGAGAACATTTAGCCCCCTGATATCTTTTATTTTAGAAGCATTTCCAAATAAGTACATGCACAACTTGAGATCGGTGATGAGCGGTGCCCCTCTCAGGTCCACACTGGGACTGGTATCCTTTAATAACTTCATCAATGACACAAACAGTGGGATCAAGGGCACCCTCCACTCTTGTGAGATCCCATCTGGAATACTGCATCCAGCTCTGGGGTCCTCAGTACAGGAAAGACATGGACTTGTCGGAGCAGGTCCAGAGGAGGGCCATGAAGATGATCCGAGGACTGGAGCATCTCTCCTATGAGGACAGGCTGAGACAGCTGGGGCTGTTCATCCTGGAGAAGAGAAGGCTCCAGGAAAACCTTACAGCACCTTCCAATACCTAACGAGGACCGACAGGACAGACTGACAGGACAGACCACTGGGACAGACGATTTAGCAGGGCAAGGGGTAATGGTTTTAAACTAGGGTCAATTTAAACTGGACATAAGGAAGAATTTTTTTATTGAGAGAGTGGGGAGACACTGTAACTTGCCCAGAGAGGTGGCAAATGTCCTATGCCTGGAAACATTCCAAGTCAGGTTGGACAGGGCTCTGAGCAACCTAATCTAGTTGAAGATGTCCCTGCTTACTGCAGGGGGTTGGACTAGATGACCTGTAAGGTCCCTTCTAATCTAACGATTCTATGATTCTATTAACTAGGAAATACAAAAGAATGCTGGAAACACATCCTGCTCAGAGGGATCCAGTCACTAAAACCCAAAGCCAGCAATTGACTGTGGAGCTACAGCTTACATAAGAGTCCCCAAGACACCCAGCCACCCGCAGGACTGGCAAAATCCTGCAGATGTGACCCTGTAAACTCACCTCCTCCATGTTACAGCACTGCTCTGTACACCAAAGGACAGTATGGATAGAACTGGGTGGGGGTGGGAAAAAAGAAAGCCAGAACTAACAAGCTGCATTAAATCACCCAGCAGAGCAGCTCCTCCACAGAGAGGCCCATTTACAGAGTAGCTCAGTGCCCTGGGAGGGATGGGCAATATTGCAAACCCAGGAAAGGAAATTCCCTAGGAGAACTGAGACACACTAACAAAGATCCCTGCAGCCCAGGACCTCTCATACAGTCACCTCTTTTTTGAAATCTAGAGTCTGCTGGGAGGATTTAGGCCTATGGCTTTGAACATAAGAGAAGGAGAACTTTTTCATCCTGAAAACAGACTGTGAAACTCAAGCAATGCTGGGAAGTGTTTCACTGTATTGTTATTCTGTAGATGCAGTTTCTGGAGGCAGGACCCAGCACAGCCTGATCTCAAAACAAAGCCATCCGTGGCTAGCGCCTCACATCACCAACCATCTCCTTCCTCTTGAAATAAAATAAAATAAAATAAAATAAAAGCAAGTACCCCCATAAATCATTCATCCATCCCAGTTTCATAACAAGAATATTTGTCAGCTCCCATTTTACGTCCCTTTCTCTGTCTGCCTGTTCTACAAAGCCACCATTTCAGCTGCCTGTACATACAGACCAGCAAGTACACAGCACCACAACGGCTCCCACACTCCCATCCTCCTGCCTGCAGAGAGGATGGCCACCTCTCCTCCACAAACCCTCACCTGCATTGCCATAGATTTTTCAGTAGATTTTTAAAAATATCTTTTTTTTTTTTTTTTTTTTTTTTTTTTTATTAATTTTTTTTGTTTTTTTTTTTTTTTTTTTTTTTTAATAATTTTTTATTTTTTTTTTTTTTTTTTTTTAATCAGTAGCTCTGGGGCACCCATCAGAGGTACTTCAGCTACTGTAACAATCACATGATTTATGTAAAAGTAATTGAGGTTAAACTATCTGCCACATCAAACTCTTCACATTTGGCCCCATCTTTAGGACCTAGAAACATCTGAAATAAATAAAGCCATGTGTCATTTAACAAGGTCTGGGCTTAATTAGGATCGTTCTGGATTTTATGGGAAAAGCTTTGTCCTGGCAGCTTTACATAGCTAGTCTATCACTTGTAAGGTTATCTGCTTTTTTTTTTCCTTTAGTACCTACATCAAAATACTTTTCCACACAGCTTTTCCTTTTTTTTTCCATCCTCCAACCAGCCGGATGACAACCACTCCTTATCTTTGGCTGTCTTCCATGCTAAAATAAGAATGCCGTTGTTACGCCGAGGGAGCTGCACCCTTCCACCTCCGTTCCCTCCTGACCAGCACGCAGCTGGCTGTGCCGGAATGCCCGAGGTTCCATTTTCTGATCATTTTTCTGTGACATTGTTGCAATTTACCCTTTAGCCATAATTTCTATTTCTAAATCACACCAGGCCTCTCGTGCCACGCGTTTTGTAGCCTCAAGTGACAGTGCGTGTCCTGAAGAGCTGGTGATCCTCAGCCCATCCCCACTGCCACTCGCTTCCCTGGCCTGACTTAGGCTCGCCGACACAAGGGCAAGCACGCAGCCAGACACAGCTCGAAGGGCGCCGGGCGATTCCACCAGCAGCAGAGAATGACTGGATTAGAAGAGGAGCAGGATTAGAGATTGATGAGTTGCTGTGAGGCTGCTATGTCTGTATGATTGGCTCCAGCAGCAGTATTTGAATGTCAAACTGTGTCCCCGCGGAGCAGAGAGGTACCACCTACACTGGGTTTCAGACTGCTGTGTGCAAGGCAGCTGGTGGCAAGTAAGGGGTTTGAGTTGGGGTCTGAACAGACAGCCCTGTACAGATGAGACCTTGGCAGGTCAGGCAGAGATGAGGAAAGAGGGAAACATGGAATGATTTGCCCACAGCTACACTGGCAGCTTGAGTCAGAGGCAGAAACGGGAGCCAGATTAAAAAAAAAAAATTAGTTCCTCATGCAGGAGATGAGCCAGCAGCCTTTGTTACATCTAAATGCATTTTTTCCCCTGTAATTCATACTGCTGCAGGCTCTGCACAGTGAACTCAGCATCCTGAAGTTGTAGGGTGCTCAGTGTGACCTGCTGATTGCACACGCCAAGCTCACTACACGACCAGCTCCATGCTCCAGCTCATGCCTACAATGCAATCCGTGCATGTTGCAAAAGCACTTGCTTTTTTTTTTTTGTTCGGAAGTGACCAGGACCCTGCAAAACCCATCACTGAGTTGATTTCCAGCCTGACCCAGATAGCTCTGGCTGCTGGATCGCCTCCAGAATTTAGTGTATACACAGAAACTTAGCAGCACTCTCCAGTCGACTCAAAGAGTTATCCCCTCTTCAAATTTGGCTTCAATCATCTCTGAAGGTGAAAGAGACTTAAGCTTCCCCTATTGGAGCTCCTCACAGATATACTATAGAATTCATCAAAGATGCCAAGGACAAAATAGTGAGGATGCATTAATTGATCAGGTTTCTCTAGCAGAGTGGTGCAGGAAACCATCCTGCCTATCAGCAGCCTCCTCTGCTAGTTACTGTGTTACATCTGATTAACCGGGGCCACTCACAGCGTCATGAAATGGAAGGAAAGGCTTTTCAAATTTACATATTAAAAAGACGGAGGTGTGCTGATTTCTGTCCTACGGAGTGTTTCAGACATAACATTAGTAATCAGTAGCGTATTTGTGAGGAAATCTTTACTTTGAATGCCAAGCCGATTTGCTAATGATGAATGACATGAAAGGTTACTTAGGAAAAAAGAAAAACATTTCCTCATCAAGTTTAAACGGAAAATACCTGAAGAATTAATGGGCAACCAGATACTCTTTCCTCTTTAACAATACACCCCCATTAGACAATATATATACTTTGAATCCCGCATTTTAATAATTTTTCTCTTTAGAAAAATAATTCTGACGGAGAACGTGCAAGAAAACTACCATCAACAGCGGTAAATAAACCGAAGCCGAACCAATCTCTCAAAAAAGAGGTTTGTTGGGGATTGCATGAGAAAAGGAGAATAACTGCCCTGCAACTCCTGCCCAGGGTGCTTGCACCCCGCAGCATCCCCCCGGAGGGATGCAGAACTTCTGGAGCACGACACTTCAACCCTGGCATTCACCGCCACGTACGCCCGGACCGCTGCGACGCCGGCGCAGATGACCCACGCCCCGCGACAGCCTCGTCCAGAAAAAGCCATTAAGGGAGCCGCAGGTGACAGTCCATCCCTCCTAGCAGACTTCGCCAGGAAGCCGGGCGACAGCGGGAGGAATTTCTGCCCTAACTTCGGAAGGGTAAATTCTCCTCCCGCTTCTCGCCTGTGACCGGCTACGCGAGGGACCCCAAATCATCCCATTACCGCCCATCTTGAAATCCATCCTGCAGAAATCCATTGCAGTCTCCTTTCCCGGAGCGCGGACCGGGCGCGGAACGCCGCCGCGGCCCCGCCGTGCGCGCCCCGCCGCCCGGGGCAGGAGCCGCGGGGGGCGATGCCCGGCCGCCACACGCGCCGCTCCTCCCGCGCACCCACGGCCGGGATTTCGGAGAAGTTGCGCAGGCAGCGGGAGGAGGAGGAAGGGCGGGGGTGGGGTGGGTGGCTCTGCTCGAGCGGGCACGGTCTCGCCCCGTCCCTTTCCCCGCCGCGGTCCCTCCGCGGCCCCCCACCGCCGCCGCAGCCCCACGGCCGGGACAACCCGCACAAAGCCGCCGCCGCCGCCACCGGGATCTCGCTGCGCCCGCTCGGCGCCACCAGAAACAATAGTCACGGGCCGAAGCGGGGACCGCGGGGCCGCCGCCCTCCCCACGGTACCGCAGCGCCCGGCCGCCGGTGGGAAGGAGGCTTGGGGGGGTGGAATTCCCGCAAAACGCCGCCGCCCGGCCAACCTGTCACCGCTCCAACCGCCCTGGGCTGTCGGTGCGCATCCGCTGCGCGGCACCTACCTCCGGTGGAGGGTGCGGCAGCCCCTAGCTGGGCTCCATGGGGCCGCAGCCGCCGCCCGCTCTGTCAAGCGCGGCCGCCGCCGCCGGGGACGCGCCGCCCTGCCCTGCCCGGTACCGCGTCCCGCTCCCCCCGCGCCGGGCGGGCCGGGGCGGGGCGAGCGCCGGGGGCGGGGCCGCCCAACCTGCGCCACGCCCGGCAGCGCCGCCCCCGCGCCCGCCGCGCCGCGGGCAGCCGCGGGAGCGCCGGGGTCCCGCGGAGCCGCAGCGGCGCGGGCGCTCGGGAGGATGCCGCAGCAGGCAGCGTCATCATCCTTCATAAATCTCGTGGGGGTTTTTGCGCCCTGCTTGCTTGAAGTTTTGACCTTGTCTCCTCTGCGTTTATCTCGGATTTACCACGATTCTGACTTCCTGTTTATTCCCCTTCCACCTCGTTGCCCTTTTTAATTTCTCCTCCCGCGCCCCCCCCCCCTCCCCACCCCCGATCTTTTCCATCCTCGCTTTCCCTTGTCCCCGTTTTCCCATCAGACTCTGAATATCCCATGCCTCTTGACCTCAGTCTCTGGGCTTCAAAACGCTTTTGTCAAGGGCAAAATAGTTTTTTGTAGGTTTCAAATCGCTATTAAGTGTCGCCAGCAGCTTATTGGAAGGTGCAGTGCATTAAACTAAATCCATGGCTAGTATTACATAATATACCCTCGAATGTACGTAAAAGATGATTGTAATTCCATCTGGATTTCTGTTGATATTAGCAAACCGCTCAAGATTTCCTCTTGTGGTTTAATGGGCTTTTCAAAACCTTTGACTGGTGCTGGATCAATCAGATTATGATTTAAGAAAGGGTAAAGCACACACACTCACGACATCGTAGGAATTAGTGAAAGAAGAAAAAAAAAAACTTAGTAGGTCATCTGCCTAATCCATCTTCCAAAAGAGAGTAGGAATGTCCCCCATACAATAATTTATGGGCATTTGTCTAGTTTTCTTTCAAATGCTCCAAATATGTGGCTTCCTCATTGCCCATAGGAATTTAGGTCAAGCTGCCTGAGAAGGAATTTTGTAGCATCTTGGGATTTAAAATCCACTACTGTTATTCCAAGGTGGGTTTTTGTTTGTTGTTTTGGTTTGGTTTGGGTTTTTTTTCCCAGACAGCACAACTGTACAGTTGCAGTTGGTCATTTATTTCTTGCCCATCATCATGGAAGGATTTTGGCCATCGCTTTCCTTAGGTTGAGAGCCCAGGGACATGCACAGCTGAGAAAATGTCAGCTTCATGCTCAGTGTGGCCAAAAGAGTGACTCAAATGTCAGGACTTGTTAGGAGAGCAACGAAGAGGAAAAGATTTTACACTAGAAAATGTGTGCTGGACCTGTGCGCTCAATACTGCAGGAATTCCGGTCTCACCTTCTCAAAAAGAACATAGCAGAGCTGTAAAAGATTTGGAGGAGGCCAGCAGTGATAATCCATGGCTTGAAAGGGTTTTCAGGTTAGGTACATGTACATGGGCAAGAGGTACGAGAGGGGAGATGTGATAGAGCTTCCTCAAAGCTCGAGCAGCATGGAGAGGGTGAGCAGGGACTGGTGGTCCTGGCTTCCAGCACAAAAGGGAAAGGCTATTAACAGGACCACCTGACTGTACAGAGGTGATTCTTTGTGCAAACACAGCTGTGGAGCCCTTTGCTATCTGACAGCAGGCAGTTGGTGTCATTCTGAGGGGGAAATTAATTAATTAACAGGAGAGAAATCCAAGAGAGCAACCAAATCACAGCTTGCTCAGAAAGGTCCCTCCATGACAAATGGCTCATGGCTGGGCTTGCTCTTTTGCCCTTTCCCCTTGGTGTATGTTGGTAGTCACTGGTCACCTCACAGCAGTGAATACACCTCTCAGATTTAATGTTACAGCTGTGTTAATTCTGTGCTGCCCACAGCTTTCCTAATGCCCTTACTGCATAGATTTGAGTAGTAAAAGGGATGAGTGGCTTTCAGTGGGAGAATGTCACTGGTGTACCAACATGTGGCATATCATGGAAGTTAGAATCATCAAAACCCACTGAAAAAAACATCATTATGCATTGAGTCACCAAAGAGAGCGAGCACTGGTTGCAAAGAAGTTTCTGTCACTCTTCTAAAATGTGACAGAAATAATCAAATCTAGCTGTGGCCTGGGGACAGTAACCTTAATTTAAAATCAATCAAAAATCCCTCTCTCAATGGCAGCTGATTGTCCCAGACTGATGCCCTCCCAGGCCTGCCATTGTCAGTGCTGTTACACAAGTGGGTAAGCATTGTGTTGTCTCCTTGTCTTCCCTCCTCCTCCATGTCTTTGAAGCTGAGACAGCATGGTCTCAAGCATCTCTGTGTTTCTGGCAGAAGAATTTTTTCTGTGCATTAATTTATAAATCTGTACATGTATGTCTCAGTATGGCTGTTTTACCCATGCAGCTTCTCCAGAAATTTGCCAGTTTAATATTGTATCTTGGTACAAAAAACTAGCTCTGGTGAGGTGGGTTGCCACACAGGAGGCAAACTACAGCAAGAATGAAAATGAAGGAGCCTAAACTATGTATGTGAATGACCTTGGTCAAGTGACTCACAGTCGTAGTCTTTTATGGGACTGATCCCATAGACTGTTTCCACATTGTATTCAGGTAGATCAGGATAATCATCATCTGCCTGTGAGGTTGCTCCACCTCCACCTAAATCTCAGCACAAATTCACATATGCGGCACTCCTCAGCTCCCATATAAACTGTGTTCTGAAGTTGGGTGTCTAAGGTAACCCTGTAGAGAGGATCTGCATCAACCTGGTGTATTGTCTGTGCTGATAAACGTGACATCTTTCCTTTTGCCAAGCATGTAAAGCAATCAGCAGTGTCAGTCATCTCAGCCTATCACTTGATCACTCTTTGATCCCAGGATAGTACAATACAGTAGCAAAATTAATACTGCCAGGTGTGATTACTAACGTAGCAATCCAGGATGCATTGCAAGCTTTAAATTCTGCATAAGCAGCCACACTGCAAATGCTGGGTGGGGAGAACTGACAGATGAGTTTACACAGTCTGTTGGGAGCATTCAAAGCCCAGCAAGAGTGCTCATTGCACCTAAAATGGGGGTTCTGAGCAGATGCAAGTTTCATAGTGACAGAAGTAATTTTCAGGGTTTCCTCTAATAATATATAGGCAGTAGTAAGCCTGTGGCAAGTCCAAAATGAGTACTGAGCAGCTTTTAAATTGTTTAAGGTATTATCTATTATAAGGAAGTTTATAAAGCTCCATCTCCATTATTTGAGTTTTCACAAGGTCATAATCCACTTGACCCTTGTGGTTTATTTCATCACTATTGTCCCTCAGAGGAATTATAACCTTTACCATTACCACTTGCTAAATATATCAAAAGGTTTTAGTGATATTGTCATAAATCACCAAGCTCAGCTTCGTTGCTTGTAATGTGACCATAGTACATACTAGTTTTGATGCACTTATTGTTAGCCTGATCTAGTTGTAGTTCTTTAATTATTTTATAATGGGATGACCACGTGCTAGCAGATATGAATGCATATTCGTTTTCCTTTAACATTTAAAAATTGCCTTTTTCTAAGGTGGTCTGAACTTCAAGTGCAGGCTTTTTAGGCAAAGTTTCTTCAATCAAACATGGAAAATACAAACTCACGGATATTGAAACCAAGCACAGTGACTTCAAGAACAGCATTCTCACAGTTGTTTCTCTTTTCAATTAAATGTGTGAGCATTCATTAGAAACCATATGAAATTTGATCATCATGAAAGCATTTAGTGACAAAAACAAAGGTATCACACATAGGCAAAGTTCATTACTCTATGTGTTTTTAAAAGGATAAGCTATAGGGAAGCTATAGATAACTGAGAATTTTGGATAACAGTAATGTATATAACTATGCTGCTTTTTACATTTCAATCTGTTTTCTAGCAGAAAGTTGGTCCCATGTCAGCCCCCCAAAAGTCTTAAAGAGAATTTGCCATAGCAAAGATGTGCTACTGAAGCCAATCTTCAGTTGCACTTAAAGATCAGCTTGCATCAGAATAAGTTGGCCTCAAAACTGTTTTGACAAGACATACCTTGTTAAGCAGTAATTGGGATCCAGTCAAGCTGCTTCTGACTCCAAGAAGGATTAACCATTACTATAAATCAGGCTTACTTGCTGGGACTGCTGGGATCCAAAATTTCTCTGCAGCAGTACCTGCAGAAGAAGTTTATCTGTCTGACAGGATATTATGGGGCAGGTCTGGGCATACACTACCCTTTCTGGTGATGTATGGCAAAACTCCTGGAACCAAAAATCTCATCTGATGAAACTGCAGAAGTCTATCTTTGGGGAGAAGGAGGAGGAGGAGGAGGAGTTATCTGTCTTTATTCTACAGACCCTTCCACTGTGGCAAATGGAAGAATAGGGGTGCTCTTCAGCATCCCCCACCCCCTCCACCAACCCACAGGCTTGTATGTCTACAGTGTATTAATTTGCATCTGAGTTAGTCACTCTTCAACCTTTATGGTCAGCCAGGAGAAATAAGCACTTTTAGGATGCAATTCATTTGACCTTTCTTAGACATGTACTTTAGGAAGAGATAAATCACTCTCCCAAGTGTCAGTGTTTCTCTGTTGACCACAAAAGGACCAGAGAGTGATTAGTTCAGAGGCAAGTGTCTATCTATATTGCAGGCTGTCTACAAGCAATTAGGCAAATCCAAACAGATTTTTCTACAATGCTGCTATTAAATTGTTTCACAAAGATTTTTATTTGTACATCACCAGTATAAAAAATAACATATTTTTATTTTTGAGAGGCATTATTTTAGCAGAGCCTGCATGTTGTGTTGGAGTTTATTATGTTGGTGCTCTTTTCAGAATTGTTTTCAGCTACCTACTGAGAAGTTGGCAATTTTTGCACTATTTCAACCTGTGAGTTTCGCCAAATATTTGTCTGATTTAATGTAAAGGTGGAAAAAGGGCACATTTTACACCAAGGGAATGAATACAGCATTAGAAATACCTCTCATCACTGTATGTGACTAGAAAGCAAAGATGAATACGTGCACTTTTTTAAAAATTTGATCACAGGGCAAGATTTTAAATGCTATTAGTAATGA